GTACAGGGACGCCTTAATCCGCTTGACCATCACGACCGGACATAAGGAAGTGATAGCCGAGGCTATATGAACCACTTCCCCGCCGGCACTCGGATGGTAATCTTGGGCATAGCATTTTAACACCCCAGAAGTGACTCGAACCCCTACTCCCACAACTGGTATGTACAGGGACGCCTTAATCCGCTTGACCATCACGACGGACATAAGGAAGTGATAGCCAGGAAGAACACTTCCCCCCCGCGGCACTCGGATGTAATCTTGGCATAGCATTTTATCAAATCACCTCATTCTTTGGGGCACACGTGAGGAACAAATAGCCTGAATGGTCCCCAGGACTATATACAACTGAAACTCACACCCCAGAAGGTATACTCCCACAACTGGTATGTACAGGGACGCCTTAAATCCGCTTGACCCATCACGGCACCGGACATAAGGAAGTGATAGCCGAGGGCACTCGGATGGTAATCTTGGGCATAGCATTTTATCAAATCACCTCATTCTTTGGGGCACACGTGAGGAACACAAATGCAAACAAGCCTGAATGGTCCCCAGGACTATATACAACTGAAAACTCACACCCCAGAAGTGACTCGAACCCATACTCCCACAACTGGTATGTACAGGGACGCCTTAATCCGCTTGACCATCACGACCGGACATAAGGAAGTGATAGCCGAGGCTATATGAACCACTTCCCCGCCGGCACTCGGATGGTAATCTTGGGCATAGCATTTTATCAAATCACCTCATTCTTTGGGGCACACGTGAGGAACACAAATGCAAACAAGCCTGAATGGTCCCCAGGACTATATACAACTGAAAACTCACACCCCAGAAGTGACTCGAACCCATACTCCCACAACTGGTATGTACAGGGACGCCTTAATCCGCTTGACCATCACGACCGGACATAAGGAAGTGATAGCCGAGGCTATATGAACCACTTCCCCGCCGGCACTCGGATGGTAATCTTGGGCATAGCATTTTATCAAATCACCTCATTCTTTGGGGCACACGTGAGGAACACAAATGCAAACAAGCCTGAATGGTCCCCAGGACTATATACAACTGAAAACTCACACCCCAGAAGTGACTCGAACCCATACTCCCACAACTGGTATGTACAGGGACGCCTTAATCCGCTTGACCATCACGACCGGACATAAGGAAGTGATAGCCGAGGCTATATGAACCACTTCCCCGCCGGCACTCGGATGGTAATCTTGGGCATAGCATTTTATCAAATCACCTCATTCTTTGGGGCACACGTGAGAAACACAAATGCAAACAAGCCTGAATGGTCCCCAGGACTATATACAACTGAAAACTCACACCCCAGAAGTGACTCGAACCCATACTCCCACAACTGGTATGTACAGGGACGCCTTAATCCGCTTGACCATCACGACCGGACATAAGGAAGTGATAGCCGAGGCTATATGAACCACTTCCCCGCCGGCACTCGGATGGTAATCTTGGGCATAGCATTTTATCAAATCACCTCATTCTTTGGGGCACACGTGAGGAACACAAATGCAAACAAGCCTGAATGGTCCCCAGGACTATATACAACTGAAAACTCACACCCCAGAAGTGACTCGAACCCATACTCCCACAACTGGTATGTACAGGGACGCCTTAATCCGCTTGACCATCACGACCGGACATAAGGAAGTGATAGCCGAGGCTATATGAACCACTTCCCCGCCGGCACTCGGATGGTAATCTTGGGCATAGCATTTTATCAAATCACCTCATTCTTTGGGGCACACGTGAGGAACACAAATGCAAACAAGCCTGAATGGTCCCCAGGACTATATACAACTGAAAACTCACACCCCAGAAGTGACTCGAACCCATACTCCCACAACTGGTATGTACAGGGACGCCTTAATCCGCTTGACCATCACGACCGGACATAAGGAAGTGATAGCCGAGGCTATATGAACCACTTCCCCGCCGGCACTCGGATGGTAATCTTGGGCATAGCATTTTATCAAATCACCTCATTCTTTGGGGCACACGTGAGGAACACAAATGCAAACAAGCCTGAATGGTCCCCAGGACTATATACAACTGAAAACTCACACCCCAGAAGTGACTCGAACCCATACTCCCACAACTGGTATGTACAGGGACGCCTTAATCCGCTTGACCATCACGACCGGACATAAGGAAGTGATAGCCGAGGCTATATGAACCACTTCCCCGCCGGCACTCGGATGGTAATCTTGGGCATAGCATTTTATCAAATCACCTCATTCTTTGGGGCACACGTGAGGAACACAAATGCAAACAAGCCTGAATGGTCCCCAGGACTATATACAACTGAAAACTCACACCCCAGAAGTGACTCGAACCCATACTCCCACAACTGGTATGTACAGGGACGCCTTAATCCGCTTGACCATCACGACCGGACATAAGGAAGTGATAGCCGAGGCTATATGAACCACTTCCCCGCCGGCACTCGGATGGTAATCTTGGGCATAGCATTTTATCAAATCACCTCATTCTTTGGGGCACACGTGAGGAACACAAATGCAAACAAGCCTGAATGGTCCCCAGGACTATATACAACTGAAAACTCACACCCCAGAAGTGACTCGAACCCATACTCCCACAACTGGTATGTACAGGGACGCCTTAATCCGCTTGACCATCACGACCGGACATAAGGAAGTGATAGCCGAGGCTATATGAACCACTTCCCCGCCGGCACTCGGATGGTAATCTTGGGCATAGCATTTTATCAAATCACCTCATTCTTTGGGGCACACGTGAGGAACACAAATGCAAACAAGCCTGAATGGTCCCCAGGACTATATACAACTGAAAACTCACACCCCAGAAGTGACTCGAACCCATACTCCCACAACTGGTATGTACAGGGACGCCTTAATCCGCTTGACCATCACGACCGGACATAAGGAAGTGATAGCCGAGGCTATTTGAATCGGCTATCACTTCCTTATGTCCGGTCGTGATGGTCAAGCGGATTAAGGCGTCCCTGTACATACCAGTTGTGGGAGTATGGGTTCGAGTCACTTCTGGGGTGTGAGTTTTCAGTTGTATATAGTCCTGGGGACCATTCAGGCTTGTTTGCATTTGTGTTCCTCACGTGTGCCCCAAAGAATGAGGTGATTTGATAAAATGCTATGCCCAAGATTACCATCCGAGTGCCGGCGGGGAAGTGGTTCATATAGCCTCGGCTATCACTTCCTTATGTCCGGTCGTGATGGTCAAGCGGATTAAGGCGTCCCTGTACATACCAGTTGTGGGAGTATGGGTTCGAGTCACTTCTGGGGTGTGAGTTTTCAGTTGTATATAGTCCTGGGGACCATTCAGGCTTGTTTGCATTTGTGTTCCTCACGTGTGCCCCAAAGAATGAGGTGATTTGATAAAATGCTATGCCCAAGATTACCATCCGAGTGCCGGCGGGGAAGTGGTTCATATAGCCTCGGCTATCACTTCCTTATGTCCGGTCGTGATGGTCAAGCGGATTAAGGCGTCCCTGTACATACCAGTTGTGGGAGTATGGGTTCGAGTCACTTCTGGGGTGTGAGTTTTCAGTTGTATATAGTCCTGGGGACCATTCAGGCTTGTTTGCATTTGTGTTCCTCACGTGTGCCCCAAAGAATGAGGTGATTTGATAAAATGCTATGCCCAAGATTACCATCCGAGTGCCGGCGGGGAAGTGGTTCATATAGCCTCGGCTATCACTTCCTTATGTCCGGTCGTGATGGTCAAGCGGATTAAGGCGTCCCTGTACATACCAGTTGTGGGAGTATGGGTTCGAGTCACTTCTGGGGTGTGAGTTTTCAGTTGTATATAGTCCTGGGGACCATTCAGGCTTGTTTGCATTTGTGTTCCTCACGTGTGCCCCAAAGAATGAGGTGATTTGATAAAATGCTATGCCCAAGATTACCATCCGAGTGCCGGCGGGGAAGTGGTTCATATAGCCTCGGCTATCACTTCCTTATGTCCGGTCGTGATGGTCAAGCGGATTAAGGCGTCCCTGTACATACCAGTTGTGGGAGTATGGGTTCGAGTCACTTCTGGGGTGTGAGTTTTCAGTTGTATATAGTCCTGGGGACCATTCAGGCTTGTTTGCATTTGTGTTCCTCACGTGTGCCCCAAAGAATGAGGTGATTTGATAAAATGCTATGCCCAAGATTACCATCCGAGTGCCGGCGGGGAAGTGGTTCATATAGCCTCGGCTATCACTTCCTTATGTCCGGTCGTGATGGTCAAGCGGATTAAGGCGTCCCTGTACATACCAGTTGTGGGAGTATGGGTTCGAGTCACTTCTGGGGTGTGAGTTTTCAGTTATATATATATATATATATATATATATATATATATATGGGTAAAAGTGCTACCAGTTTTTTGCAGGAACTGCGTTCTAGGCTCATTGAAACAACAAGGGACCCGAGAGCTGCAAGCTTTCTTTTCCAGCGCCTCAGTGTGGCGATACAGAGGGGAAATGCGCACTGCATCCAGGGTTCCTGCCCGCCATCTGAGGAGCTGGAGGAACTCGACAACCTATGAAAACCATCTTTGTAACCCATATGTAACTCCTTTTTTGTAACAAAGTTCAAATAAAGTAAATATATATGTGTACATACAAAAGAATGGGGGTGGTAGGAGAAGATAATATTAGTGTTCAGTGAGAAACCACAAGGTCTCCTCTGAATACTTTTTATTTTCTTCTCCGAGGCTATGGGTCCCCACATTGGCACCAGAGGTGGTACCCTCACAAACTTTATTTGTATATATATATATATATATATATATATATATATATATATATATATATATATATATATATATATATATATATATATATATATATATAAATAAACTGTGATGATAAGAACAGCTCCTATTAACAGGAACTGAGGGATAATACAGTGATAAAGATATGCAAGCACCTGTCTGACTCACAAAGAAGAAGAATAGTAGTAAGGAGGAGTAAGTTATTACATTCAACTTACGTTCGATTTTTAGCTAACTTGGCACAAATTTCACGAAGGAAAATGCGCAATTCCCTGAGTGTAGCTTCCTCAATCTCTTCCAGCTTTTTAACTTCCTTGGAATTTAACTGCCGGTGTTCAGGTTCTGGAGCCAGTGGTAGATCCTCCAGTTGTCGTTTATTTGGGCGAACCTACAAAAAATAAATAAATAAATAAATAAAAATAAGGAAAAAAGCAATCAATTTTTTCCTATCATAGTAATGTACAGAATTTAAAAACAAAAGATTATATCAATACCATTGACAATTGCTACTATTGCACATGTCATTCATTTTTTCATTCCAAACACAACAGAGCATTGAAACTCTGTTTTATGAACAGAAACTCTATAGCATCCATATGCATTATTTGCTCTGAACCCTCATTATAACAAACATTCATCACACCATGCTGATTTACTACACACTAGGGCAGGGAGCACAGAAGAGAGCATACCTCCATTTACCTCTGCTTGCTACAATGCACAAGAAAAAAGAGTTCCAAGAACTTTTAGAACAATCCTAGACCTTCGAACAATCTTAGCAACTGGGCCATCCAGGAAGTCATGGGTCTCATGCCAACACAAAGAGGTCCAACTGAGGGAAGCCAAACGTCTCACGAAAACCAACTGAAATACGTGTCGTCAACCACCTACACCGCATGTCAGTGGGAAAGAAGTGAGAGAGACCATCCCCAAAAACATTGAACACAGTCTCATAAGGTAAACTGCCTGAAGAGCCAACCCCAAAAACTAAAAGAGCCACTTACAAAGTGCTGCCTCAGAAGAAGGGATGAACGTGATCCCTTTCGACAAAGAGCAACTGAGAGTAGGGAAAGTAGAGCTGGAACTCACAAACATGAGACGAACACCCTACAAACAGGACCCGACCAACAGCAGTGAGAAGCAAGATAAGCAAAGGACACAAAATCCCAACTCTGAGCTAAGGCAACTAACCATGGGAGCGAACCCCAAAAAACCAGCGTTCACTGTAATGAAACGCCAGTTTCTGGGCGAGCCCTGGAGGTTTCCCGGAGGCTCCCGGAAGCTATTCCTTTGATATACAGTAGTGCTATCCTATTTGGGGTCATCTGTCATGGAGTTCTTGTTGCCTACCAGGTACCAGCGCCAGAACCTGGCCCCTTTTCAGACAGGCACAGGGAGCAATGGCTCATGAACACTTAACATTCAAAATATAAAAAAAACCCAAGCCCAAGTATATCAAAAGAACAAGCCCAACTTGATGCTTTATGGTCATCCTATAGATATGACTTAGCAGTCAAGAATAGGAAGCCTGTTAGGTTTAATGTAGTCCCCCCCCCCCTGACCAACTGCCAACCTTTCCTCATGAAGCAACCCACAACAGTTACCATTAATCTGTTATTCTACTGTGTAAACCACTGTGTGGCCACAAATAGCCTGGTTTGTTACTTGAATCATCTTGCTATTATGAAACGATTCATTTATATACATTTTTATTCTATACTCTTTTTAATACCATTTTATTTTTCTTATTGGAATGCAAGGGAAAAAAGTATTAAAAATTTAACCTTTTAGCCGACTTTTGACCCTTGGAAGAGACGGTGGAAAAATGTTGCTGGAACCAAACAGTTCAATGTACATGTAATGTATGGAACAAAATTCAATGCTTTGCAGAATTAAATTACCTTAGTTTTTTGAAGCATATCTGTGAAGAACAAGGGTTTAAAGAACTGCCTCCTCTCATCTTCTAGTGGATTGACCATAGTCATCATTTCCTCGCGATACACACTAAAAAGCATCTGAACCTGATATGTGAAAAAAAAACACAAATTAAAGAACATTCTTGGCAACACAATAATACAACTACACAGCATGTCATGAAATAAGTACTCACAGCCTATTTTCTGCATGCAATAATATTTCAGCCCTCTGAGAAACTTACTAAAACTTGGCCCAACATAATTTTACACAAATTACCAAATTCTGGAACTAGGTTCCCTGGAAAACTCAAGAGCTTTAGTCCATAACAACACACATCATTCATCCCTGAACCGTGTCTGTGATACAAATGTTTTTGTGATGAAAAAACACAAAACCAAACTTTTATTTCTTCCAGCAAACCAGGATTAGAATCTGATTACTTAAGAGCAGGAGAGATTAACACATGGAGATTAACCCGTGGTGGTTAATTAGCCAGTTTCTGTGGTGTAGTGGTAAGACACTCGCCTGGCGTTCCGTGAGCGCTTTGTCATGGGTTCGTATCCTGGCCGGGGAGGATTTACTGGGCGCAAATCCTTAACTGTAGCCTCTGTTTAACGCAACAGTAAAATGTGTACTTGATTGTAAAAACGATTCTTCACATCGTATTCCAGGGACCTGCCCGAAACACTACGCGTACTAGTATCTGTACAAGAATGTAACAACTCTTGTATATATCTCAAAAAAAAAAATCATCATTATACAGTACAACCTCAACAACGCACTATATGGGACCAACCCCGGTGCGTTGGGAGCATTGGATGCATTGCAAGAGGTGACCTTCAGGAGGCGTTTGCGTCGGTGTCTTTTTGTCTTGTACACAATAAAAATGCATCATCATATTATATACTGTACCTATATTATTATTATTACCCTACTAAAAAATACTGTGTTACATTTGTTATTTACCTTACTGTTGGAGTTATGCCCATCTTGAAGTCTCATAGTTGTGAATGCTGTACAGTAAATACATAATTGTAGTGTATTATACCGTTAACACTGTGTTGATTAAGTAGTTCTGCTGTATGTTGAGTACTACAATACAGTTTATGAAAACTATTGTACACTAAAATTACTGCAACTTTAATTTTAACGCTATGTACACACTTAAATTTAACACTCGTTCTAACTGTTCACGCTGCACACGATGTTTTTAGAAATTTGCATCAGCTTTGCTGGTGCTCGCTGCTGCTGTGGCTTCAACTGCTTCTGAGCTGGTGCTGGCTGCTGTTGTACCAGTGCTGGGTACAGCTGTGCTCGTGCTGGGTACGGCTGTTCTTGTGTTGGGTATGGCTGTTCTAGTGTTGGGTATGGCTGTTCATGTGCTGGGTACGGCTGTGCTCATGCTGGTTGATTTTCTGCTATTAGTTCTTGCAAAATATTACTTTTTTTTTGGCATTAATAAGGCACTATTAGTAAGCCCCTGAGACATTTTGTTGTATAACAATACAGCTGTAGTAAAAAATGGTAAATTCCACGATTATTCTTCCACCGGCGGATAAATACTGTACGTCAATTGCAAACAAAGCTAAGGGCACTGGGTGCATACTGTATGAATGCAGACTAGGTCTACACAGTAGGCTGGTGTTTAAGCCAGATCCAGTAAGATAAATTTCTCAAATATTCGATTTACATCAAATTATATATTTTTGGGTTATATATTTAGTTAAGCAACATTATTACGATAATAAGAGCTATAAAAAATACTAATTTTAGAACCGATTTATTTATTTTATTATTTCAAAGCCTTGGGTCACTGAACTGTGGCGACGAAATCGAATAAAACACGCATGGTGTTGTGTGCACACGGATTAGACCCGTCCACTAGCGCTAGAGTTGTGCCGCCAATAACATAAATAATTTCTCAAATGGCAGATATCTTTCATATTACAGTATATTTTTGGTTTAATTTAGTTTAGTTTAGTTAGGATAATAAAGAGTTATTAAAACACCAATTATTAATGGTATTAATGGTAGCGAATTATTAATGGTAATCTGTGATAGAATGGGAAGTTTTCCACCAGTCTGTGAACTCTTTCTCGACATCGTAAGCAAATCCGAACATTCCCCGCTTAGGCGAACCATGGTTCATCAAACCGGGTGAGTAAATCCGGCCTGAAAAGTGTGCGAACTAGCCGGAGATTCGTTGAATCGGGGTACGTTTAATCGAGGTTGTACTGTACAGTGGAACCTCGGCTTGCGAATGACCCTATTTACAAATTTTTCGGGTTACGAGCTCAATTACTTCCTAAAATTTGATTCAGTATACGAGCTTTGCCTTGAGTTGAGCGTTTGTTGATACACATATGGGTCGACTGAGCGCGTGGTTCCTGGTGGATCGAGAGACCGCACCTCAGTTTAACAGTGCCTCCCACGTAGTGACGATCGCGCTTGAATTCGTCGTAAAGAATTTAATTGTTTTTCAACATTTTTGGTTTCTAAACATAAAAGTAATTATTATATACCATGCCTTGGGTCCTAACAAAGTTAGTGGGAAGGTTCAACCTATGAAAACACAAAAAATGAGATAGAGAGAGATAGTGTGTGTGTGCGTGTGAGTGTGAATGAATGAATGAGAGAGAGAATGAGTGAGTGAATGAGTGAGCAAGTGAGTGAGAGTGTGAGAGTGAGAGTGTGAGAGTGAGAGAGTATGAGTGTGTGAGTGAGAGTGAAGATGACCATAGAACAAACACAATGCTCTATGAAAAGGTTCTTAGAGAGACAAACAAGCAATGAGCCACAACCAAGTCCTAGTGGTATGCAGGCAAAAAATGAGATAGAGAGAGTGTGTGTGTGCGCGTGCGTGAGTGAGTGAGTGAGTGAGTGAGTGAGTGAGTGAGTGAGTGAGTGAGTGAGTGAGTGAGTGAGTGAGTGAGTGAGTGAGTGAGTGAGAGTGAGTGAGTGAGTGAGTGAGTGAGTGAGTGAGTGAGTGAGTGAGTGAGTGAGTGAGTGAGTGAGTGAGTGAGTGTGAGTGAGTGAGTGAGTGAGTGAGTGAGTGTGAGTGAGTGAGTGAGTGAGTGAGTGTGAGTGAGTGAGTGAGTGAGTGAGTGAGTGAGTGAGTGAGTGTACTCACCTATTTGTGCTTGCGGGGGTTGAGCTTTGGCTCTCTGGTCCCGCCTCTCAACTGTCAATCAACTGGTGTACAGGTTCCTGAGCCTACTGGGCTCTATCATATCTACATTTGAAACTGTATGGACTCAAGCCTCCACCACATCACTGCCTAATGCATTCCATCCATTAACTACTCTGACACTGAAAAAGTTCCTTCTAACGTCCCTGTGGCTCATGTGAGTACTCAGTGTCCACCTGAGTCCCCTTGTTCGCGTACCACCAGTGTTGAATAGTTTAACCTTGTTTACCCGGTCGATCCCCCTGAGGATTTTGTAGGTTGTGATCATGTCTCCCCTTACTCTTCTGTCCTCCAGGGTCGTAAGGTGCATTTCACGCAGCCTTTCCTCGTAACTCAAGCCTCTTAGTTCTGGGACTAGTCTAGTGGCATACCTTTGGACTTTTTCCAGCTTCATCTTGTGTACCCCAGAGAAGTCATCACTGCCTGATAAAATAATAGAAGGGGGACTCCCCTTCCAAACACTAACACCTCTTCTCCTTCCCTCCCAACCTCTACTCCTCACCGTCTTCCATATGCCAACAAGAGTCATCAATAAATATTAGCTAAAACTTGTAAATACAGTGGTACCTCGCATAACGAATTTAATCCGTTCCATGTTCGTCATGTGAAACGGACGTCATACAAAACGAGTGTCCCCATTTAACCAGTGTGATGCACTGTGTTTATTGTGAAATTTCCCCAGTGTGCATGACATCAAATGTTCCCCAAAATATAATTTATCTTTGTAAAATGATAAATTACCGTCCCTGAACATGTCTATGTAAAAATAATTACCAAATTCCACTTACTTTGGCTGTGAGGGCGTGGACAAGGTGTGCTATGACGTCATCAGGGGCTGGTCGCCGGTGTGTGAAGCTCCCAGACACGGTCGCGCAGGCCATTCAAGCATCGCGTATTGCCACAAATATATTTTCAAATATTTTTTCTATGCATTTCCAATGCGGTTTTATTTGTTTCTTTTATCGTATATGATGCATATTTGTGACCTTTACAATATGTATACAGTAGAATGTTCATAATTTTCCATGAAACTGTGATACATGTGTCAGTAATGTGTCCACAATAAATGTTTATTGTCACAATATTACGTGGTAAAAATTCACTAATATTACAATATGTACAGTTTCACATACTATTTACACAGTAACACACTGTATTACACACTCAGTACTTTGGAGGTGCATAATAGTCAACGAAGTAGTCCATGGTACACAGCGCGACATTGCTCTCCTTGCACCAGCTACAGATAGATTTTTGTTTCCTGTTTCATCGTTCTGTGTGCTTGCAAATAATGCACTCGCGTGCACCCTTGGCTTTAGTACTTGTAGGTGGTATGTAGCCAAGCTTGTAAAGCATAAAGTAGTATTGAAACGATTATAGGAAAAGCTCAATTTGTAAGGTAGTCTTGAAAAGATCGCTTTGTAAGGTCCCACACAAGAAGAGATTCAGCTAGCCTCAAAGAGTGTCCATCAGTCAGGAAGAGATTCAGCTAGCCTCAAAGAGTGCCCATCAGTCAGGAAAAGATTCAGGTATTCTTGAAAATATCAATGAACACCACCACCATGGAAGCCGCTAACACTGTTAATCTATGCTACTTGTATCAGATGCATCATCACTGAACGCAGAAAACAATTCATCTATGTATCATCTATATACATTAGAGATGGCAAGGGTGGGGCTCAGAGCTACACCTGGATACGCTTGCTGTATCATCCTCATAGGTGCTGTATCACTGGCATCCGACCGTTGTGTTAAGCCCTTATTGCGCCTAGCTTCACCAATGTTATGACCCTTATGTTCTTCAAACAAAAGGGTCTGAATTGCACCGACTGAGCGCAGTCTTTCAACACCGTGTGGGACAGGTGTTTGAGAGCCAGAGGCACGTGTGCCACAAATGGTTGCTCACGCAGTACTAACCCAGCCAGCAGCCCTTGTCTTTCATATTCATTATGGCAAAAGGTTCGTTCAGTGTTTGTTGGGTAGGCTGCTCCATTATGACAATCTTTCTTTGTTTCAAATGTGTTCCATTTGTTTTGTATTTGTCACTTACGTCTCAATAATGGAGCAGCCTACCCGACAAACACTGAACGAACCTTTATGACATTTATCCATTTTTCAAATTGTTTCAACAGTTCTTTTATTTTTCGTTTTTATTTTTTTTTAACAAACATGGAGCAGCCGACCTGTAGACCACCGAACGAACGTTTTTGACATTTGTACTGGTTTTCAAAATTCTTCCTTTTTTTATTATTTACGTTTTTTGTATGTAAGAAACATGGAGCAGCCTACCTGCCGACCACCGAACGAACCTTTTGCTATAAGACAAATGAAAAATAAATATTGAACACATTTGAAGAAAGGAAAATGTCATAATGGTTTATTCAGTGTATGTAAGGTAGGCTTCTCCATTATTGAGACGCAAATGACAAATAAAAAACAAATGGAACACATTTGAAACAAAGAAAGATTGTTATAATGGAGCAGCCTACCTGCCGAACACCGAACGAACTTTTTTGACATTTGTTGTATATCAGACATTTCATTTCTTTTTTCCTACAAAAACGTCAATGCTTTGCAACATCTCAGCAGTCACCCTTTTATATCCCAGCATCATTAGCATCTTTAAACAAGAACAACATAATTTATGTGCATCGTCGGAGGCGTCTAAGAATGTGCAAGAAGCAGCGCACCCCACCATGTGGTGTTGACGTTACTCAAACCAGCGTTCGTCATACGGGACGATTTGACGTCGATCGGGCCGTTCGTTACCCAAAATATTCGTCTTTTGGGGCAATCGTTATGCGAGGTACCACTGTACTATAATACAAAATGTGTTTATTATGTATGATGTGTATTTTGAAGTTAATATTTTTGGGAGTGTGGAACGGATTAATTCAATTTACATTATTTCTCATGGGAAAATTTGTTTCAGGTTACGAATTGTTGGGTTACAAGCCATCTCTGGGAACGGATTAAATTCGTAAACGAAGGTACCACTCTCTGTCTGTATCTGTCTCTTGTGTCCTCGTCTAGTTGTACTTGCTGGGGGTTGAGCTCTGGCTCTTAAGGCTTGGCTCTCATCTGTCAATTAAATTATTTTTAAAAGGCTAAGAGTAGGTCACAAGAAATTAGAACAAATTGACAGATTGACTTGCTCTGGAGCTAACTCATCCCGAGGGGTGAACTTAGTCCCACAGCAACTTGTGTAGCACCTCTAATAGGAAGAAAACCCTTATGAGAAATCTATTTGCCCCCATCTTACTGCTACCATTACAAAATATTGTACTTACTTCAGCATCAAGCTCATCATATGGAACATCTGATGTAGCTAACAATAATAATGGCGATGAAGGATCAAGGTCAAGCAGGAGAGACATGAAAGTTGCACGCAAAGTTTCTGAAGTCATTCCCCACCACTGGTCTATGTGTGGAACATAAATGATACTTGGTAGATTACGCCGTGCTTCGTGAAAAATCTGTAGGAAAGTAATTTTATAAATGCCAAGTAATTCATAAGACTACGACATGAAATTAAGCCTGTTGCAAGAACAGAATTAAGGATAGTGAATTATGACACCAACAATATAGATTCTCTGGTCTTAGGCAAAACAAAATTTCAAACATATTTGATTCTTAAATGAAACTAATGATAATTAGGATACAAAATAATTTTATTAATTACAAAGTTGACTATATTTTGTAAGGCATAATGCACACATTACAGAATAAAACCTTATCTATTCAAGTAAAATTTGAACATTAAATTACTGATGCCTAAAAATAACTGCAAGTCAGCATAAAAATCATATTTTAGGAACTATATTCACTTGGGCTAAATTATCATCCCATCATTAATATAAATTAACTGCAGTAAATCCTGAAAAATAAAGACTACAATAAGACATAAATATTAGTATATAAACATTGTACAGCCTCACATTTATTAACAGAATGGGGTAAAAAAAACTTTCATGAATAAACGAGAAACCTTCAATACTTATTTTTTATTGTAGAGTTTAACAGTTGTGCAGGGTAATAAAACTGTATGAAAATTTTAAAATTAGGATTTACAGTGTGGGTAAATATGCAATAAAGTAGATAAAGCAACCAGCATCAAATGTAATGAAACACTTCAGGTGGCTGTGACTCGTACATCAGGCTGCGAGCAGCCGCACTGAGCAGCCTGGTTGATCAGACCACCAAGCAGATCAGGTCAGAAACTGGGCAGCAGGGATGTTGATCTTCAGAATCATCATCAGGTAGATAAGCAGGCTGTTACCAGTTACCTGGAAAGCTTCAGCCAATTCAATCCACGCCAGGCCCTTGTTAACCATTGTAAGTCTACCAGGAACCATAAGCTAAAATTTGGTCTCTGTTAAGGGACATCATTATAATCTCTGAACAAATCCACAAGGGCTGTGATGAGGGTTCGAACTTATGCCCAGGTTGATCCCAGACGCTACCTTAGTCGAGTAGCGTCTGGGATCATCCCGGGCATAAGTTCGAACCCTCATCACGGCTCTCGTGGATTTGTTCATTTGGTGCATCACGCTATTCTGATTTCTGTGTGTATTATAATCCCCGTTTCCAGTAGGTCACTGAGAAAGTCTGAGGTGCCTCGTGAGATGGTATTGGCCTGGGAGTTCATTGCACAAGCTGTAGAGACCCTTTAAGGATCACCAGAAAAGGACATTTCATTATATTTAATTCTCTATTTTGACCGTCAAAATCTTAAAAAGTTTTCATTTATAATATCCTACCCAGCTGTTCAACTGACATTACATTTCAATATGGCCTTCACTCTAAACCACAGCCAAGGTTAAATCAAGATTCCAATTGAAATTAAATTAGTGCAGGTACCTAAATAAGTACACAAAGATTTTATGAAAAAAAAAAAAAAAAAAAATAATAACAACAGCAGCACTATCATTCAATAAAATAAAATGCCCTTTTCTGGTATCCTATAATGAGACATGAAGCACATGTAAGTCAGTATCAACTTAATACTGAGGCAAACTCATAAATGCATAGAAAGAAGACACTAGACAAACTCCATCATGAAACTATTTTTTGGAAAGTAGCAAATGACTAAAATGCCAACTGTGAAACAAGTAACCCAGAATCTCCTCATCTGCTACGAGGTGACAGGCCAAGCCACCCTCGAGCCTGGTGACATGCCCACGTCACACTCTACCCAGGCTGGCTGGCCACCCTCGAGCCTGGTGACATGCCCACGTCACATACCCAGGCTGGCTGGACAACATACCACTTAAAAACTGAATGCACTTAATTACATATTAAAACACACATCAAATTTGGACCAAATCTTAAGTGGCGGTAATTCAAAATCTCTTCCATTCACTGTAGTTTTGAAGAAACTTTCAATTTTAAAACATGCAAATGTACTTATTACAGTATATAACAATTCCAAGATATAAACGTTTGAAATACAAGAATGCCAAAGAAGGCTACTTAGAAAAGTAGAAATGATTAAACTAAAGCTACAGGAATCATATAAAATTCAGGAGAAGCTGAGAGAGAGAGAGAGAAAGAGAGCAAAAGGCCATCAACATAAGAGAGAAATCCAAAATACTTTTTCTCCTATGCAAACTCTAGAACAAAAACTACATTTAATATTGGACCCCCTGCAAAAAAGAAATGGAATTTTCACAGATGACAACAAAGAAATGAGCGAACTACTGAGGCAACAATACAATTCCATTTTCAGTGAGCCCTTAACACACTGAAGTTTGATAACTCAAATGAATTCTTCATGAATGGGATTCCAACATCAAATTAAATGTCAAATGTCACCCTAACGCCACTTGAATTTAAAGTAGCCATAAATAGTATGTCTATGAACTCTGCACCAGGACCTGATTCCTGGAACTCGATATTCATCAAGAACTGTAAAAACCACTATTGCAGGCCCTAAACATTTTTTGGAAGAACTTAGATACTGGTGTTGTCCCTGACATCCTAAAAACAATAGAAATGGCACCACTCCATAAAGCAGGAAATAAAGCAGAGGCAAAAGAAACTATAGGCTGATAGCACAAACATCACAGATCACAAAAAATCTTTGAATGAGTGATAAAAAGTAAGATCACAAAACACATGGAGTCACAGCATCTACATAACCCTAGTCAACATGGTTTCAGATCAGGGCGCTCTTGCCCATCACAACTGCTCGACCACCATGACACGGTCTTAGGTGCCACGAAGGAAAATAGGGGAAAAAATGCCGACATAATATACAGATGTCACAAAAGCCTTCAACAAATGTGACCATGGTGTTATTGCACATAAAATGCGTTCAAAGGAATCACCGGAAAAATAGGAAGATGGATCTACACTTTCCTAACTAACAAACTCAGTGTGTAATTCAAGTTCAATTATGTTTATTGAGATATGAAAGAAATACATCTCAAAGGGATAGAGTAGCTTAGGCTATTTCTACCCCCCCCCCCCCACAACAGTGTGTAATAGTCAACAAAATAAAATCCGGACCATCAACCGTGAAGAACTCAGTCCCCAGGGTACTGTGCTCCAGTACTACTCATATTGGATATAGGTAAGGACACAAACTATAGTACCGTATCATCCTTTGCAGATGACAATAGGATTTTTATGAGAGTAGACAACAGAGGATCCAGCAAACCTCCAAACTGATGTAAATCAGATCTTTCAATGGAAAATAATATATTTGATGAAAGATACATTCCAGCTTTTGCACTATGGAAAAAATTAAAATATAAAAATGGAAACCACATACAAAATGAAGTCAAATCATACCATAGAATGTAAAAGCAATGTAAAGGATTTGGGTGTAATCATGGCAAAAGACCTTACCTTTAAAGACCACAATAAAGTAATTGTCACAACTGCAAGAAAAATGACAGTTTGGATAACAAGACCCTTTCAAACAAGAGATGTTGTACCAATGATGATACTTTTAAAGACGCTAGTGCTCTCTAGAGTGGAATACTGTTGTACAATGATAGTCCCTTTCAAAGCTGGAGAAATTGCTGACCTGAGGCCAGATTCACAAAGCAGTTACGCAAGCACTTACGAACCTCTACATCTTTTCTCAATCATTGGCGGCTATGTTTACAATTATTAAACAGTTAATAAGTTGGGAAGCACCAGGAGGCTGTTTATAACAATAACAGATGATTGGGAAGTTTTCATGCTTTTAAACTGTTTAACAAATGTAGCCAAAGCCGTCAAAGATTGAGGAAAGATGTAAACATTCGTAAGTACTTACTTGTGTAACTGCTTCGAGAATCTGGCTCCTGGAGAGTGCAAAAATCCTTCACTGCTAAAATCCAATCAATAAACCATCTAATTTACTGGGACCGACTCAAAAGCCTAAATCTGTATTCGCTAGAGCGCAAGCGGGAGAGATACATAATAATTTACACATGGAAAATATTAGAGGGGCTGGTCCCAAACCTGCACACAGAAGTAACATCACACAAGACCAGTAGGCATGGCAGGATGTGCAGAATACCCCCATTGAAATGTAGAGGTGCAATAGGCACTCAGAGAGAGCTCTATCAACATCAGAGTCCCGAGACTGTTCAACACGCTTCCAATACACATAAGGGGCATAACTGGCCGACCTCTCACAGTGTTCAAGAGAGAACTTTATAAACTCCAAAGGATGCCCGATGAACCAGGCTGTGATTCATACGTCAGGCTTTGAGCAGCTGCATCCATCAATCCGGTTGACTAGTACATCAGCCAGGAGGCCTAGTCACAGACCTGGCCATGGGGACCTTGACCCCCTGGAATCTCCACAAGGTAACTCTTCCTAATAATTACTACAAATTTTAAAATATGCCCTCTGGGGGATATGTCCCAATACAGATCTTATGACATATCTTCCTTGAACCACCATGCATATATTTAGACAAATTCAAGGCGACATGCAAAGAATGGTTCACATGCTGCACTTGTGAACCAAGTATAAATATTTAGGAGGAACAAAAAATAATTTAGTAAACCCTTAATAATTATGATGCACCTAAAATGGGTCAAGATTTACCTGAGCACATGCTTCTTCTGGTGCTCGTGCTGATACTGAATACAGAGCGGCTAGATCCAACTTGTGAGTTGGAACCTTTTCAAGGGAATGAATAAGTGCTGGTGCTAGATGGGTGCTCTGGCCTTGAGTTCTAAATCCAGCTAGCAGCAGTCTGGGCCGATGAGTAGTACGGCACTTTATACTAGTGGAAAATTTAATAAAGCCGTGAGGAAAACTTTCCGACAGTAGTCTTAAAGCACGATTGAGAGATGACTGCAGTAAGGGTTGCACATTAGAGCCGAGGCGTCGACCAACACTAGCAGCCGACCTCTGTCCAGCTGCAACTATCTTTTTCAATGCCACTTTAAAGTGACACAATCTTATCTGGTGAAAAAAGTTCACTTCATTAGGACAAGCAATATTTATTAATATAAAAATATACTGAGCATTTGGTTAATGATTTATTAGACAAAAATGTTGTAATAAACAAATACACCTTTAAAAACTTACATTAATTGAAGATACATCAATTAGAAGCTTCTGCTTGGATAAGTAAATCTGTGGATATTTGCTTCTGAGTGCAATTAACGCTGACTCGGCACAAAGTGACTTTAGATCAGCACCACAATAACCAACGGTCTGCTCTGCTAAGTAGTGCAAAAGCCGCTTACTAGGAACAGGGATCCAACTTTTGGTGTGAATTGTTAATATATGCTGACGTGCCTGTTGAAGAAAGACCATTTAAATGAAGATGTACTACTATTAAAATTACAGAAGAAACATATGAGCTTAGATTAGCTTGATCACAGACAATTGAGGAGGACAATGGACTGTAAGTGGTTACAGTACAGTATTGTTTTACTGTAACCGATAAAAATCATTTTATTTTGGGTCCCTATGCCAGACAAATCTCAATACAGTGGAACCTCGGGTGACGAGCGGCTCCATCTACGAGCACTTCGGGTACCGAGCGAGCCACTCACAGAAAATTTGTGTCTAATTGACAAGCTTCCGCTCGGTTAACTAGAAAACCATGTGGTGCTTCCTAGCGTTCCCGCTGGTTCTCGCAAAGTCTCGGACACCTCTGACAATGTAAATCAATGATTCTTTTAAAAGATGCTAATGATGCTGGTATGTAAATGGGTGACTGCTGTAATGCTGCAAAGCATTTTTTTTTTAATTAAAAAAAAATTGAAAAAACTGAAACAAGAAGAAATGTCGTGTCAAAAGGTTCGTTCAGTGTATGTCAGGTAGGGTGCCCCATTTTCTTTGAAAAAATTAAACAAATCGAATATCATATTGATGTTTTTCGGTGGTGGAAGGGATTAATTTTATTTCCCTTATTTTAAATGGGAAATTTGTTCCGCAAGACGAGCTCGGTGCCGGAATGGATTAAATTCGTTAACTGAGGCACCACTGTACATACAATATTACAAAATCAAAGGCAATACTATTATTATAAGGCAATACTAAAATAATGAAACTACAGAGAGAGTGATTACTGATTAGTAACACCCAGCACTGAAAGTAATGTAACACACCTCTTACAGGTAGAGTCCAGGTGGCTTCCTAAAGCTATCTCACTGAGATTCTCTATCTAATGAGTCACAACACTCACTGAAGTTTTGTTTGGCATACCAGTCAGTGATCAGAGCCAAAACCTGGCCCTCCCCTCACAGAGAAGCACAAAGTAAGTGACAATTTGCTACCCAATTGGGAAAGCATCCAGAAGGTTTGTGAAACATTACAGATAAATGGAGGGTTCACAGAAACCGAAGCCTCAAAACTACCAAACTCCTCCGCAAACGATTTAAACATAACATTCACCCAAAACTGGCTCCAACTCTTTAGTACCAATAGCTGCCACCATTCAGCCTAGCTCTACCAGACAGTTAGCAGTTAGCACCCCTGGCTAGTTATGACGCTGATCAACAACCCACTGACCACCCTGGAGGACAGGGCGGGAATCCATGGCTCTGCCAGAAAGAATCATTTCATTACATTCATTCCTGAATTTTGGGGAAACCTGTGACTTCCTGAAGCTAACCATGGAGGAAAAAAATGTTACTTACCAGAGAGGAGAAAAGGTGGCAGGTACTAAGGCAGAGGAGAAAAGCTAGGCTGGGATAGCCCAAAACAATACACGACTGACTAGGACCAGGAACATGAACCAAATACCAGGCCAGCAGAACCCTGTTAGAATAACAAAATCCCCAAGACCAAAAATCAACCCAACAAATGTTGGAACAGACTACCACCAAAGCAGCATACTGTGGTAATACTGCTTTGTCCTGACTACAATTGCATGCATCATCATCAATGTGCACATAGCAAATGTTTCACAAAGCTGTCGGAACTCAGCAAAACACAAGAGCAATGGGGTGGTAAGAACCCTGGGGGGTGGTCCCTCCTCAAACTTATTTTATCGAGTTCTGAGCCATGGTCATGGGAATCTCCTCAATGCAAATGAAAGACTTTATGGGACTCCTTGTGTCATCACATTTGTAGTGACTAATAGGCAGTTCAGTGTTGAAGACACCAGGGCTGAAGGTTCAAACCCTGGAAGCAATACTCAAGGGCCCTGTGGCAAATCCAGCATCCAAGCCCAGGATAGGAAAGTGGAACCCAGAGAAGAAGCTTCAAAAGAGGAGTTGGGGGATGGCTGAAATGAAAAACCCAAAGCCTCAGCAGGACTAGCTAGCTCAACTGCTACCACACCCTATTTAGAGGGAGCAGCCCCAGGAGCCAAGCCAACCAACCTACATTCTGAGCTAAACCCTGCCCCGATCCCAAAAAACCCTCATTCGAGGCTGGAAGCAGCGAGGGATGATCAGAGGTGGGGCAAACCATGCTCGAAGGGAAAAGAAAAATCAGTGCAGACGAAGCCAAGGTGGAGATCACCAATAACCTCTATTTCTGGGTCAATAAACACAAGATGCTCTAGGACATCCAACTGGGCACACAATCAAGAGAGCTGTAAGTGAGTGAAATGAACTCAAAGTAACCACCACCTGATGCACACGAACCTTATCAGTTGAGTCAGAAAGAAGAGTTAAATGGGAAAAGCAAACCCCACAGAACTCAGGGTTGAAGATGACACCGACCCAACAGGAAGCATGGCAGAGGCAGAACGAGTGAGCCTCGTCGTGTGGCACGGACAGTGAACAACCCTCAAACTTGCACAAGGTAAGAGCAGATTTGCTGGGACTATCAGTAGGACCACTGTACCCACAAGGGATTTCCAGGGCCTGAATCAATCAGGACACCCAGGTACTGGAGACAGTATGACAGTCCTAAAACTAACCTGACACAGCCTGGGTTACACGGCTGTGAAGACAGACCACTGCATTCTGAAGGGAAACCTGTGAACCACCAGTGTGTCCTACCAGCCAGTCACACCCGATCCAGGGCAAGAAAATAGCTATAAAATTTCTGAACACTTCGGAGAAAAGAACTTTGGAAAAGTCAAGGGCAGTGCTAAGGAGCACACAGGGAAGATAACCCCTAAGCACATGTTGCTCCAAGCACCCTCAAAGTCAGGCTCACACTACACAGTTGTGTAAAGGAAAAGCTACATAAGGCAAACACCAAACCACTTTGCTGAACAGTGGAGCCCGCATGCAAGAGAGGTGACTGGGAACCACTACATCTGCAACAGAACTGACAGCTCAGACCCCAGAAGGCAGGGAACAACTTTCCCCCCTCCCTCCGAATGAGTGGGGAAGGTGGGGCAAATGAGCTAAGCCAACACAACAACCAAGAAAAACAGGTAAACAAAGCTAATACTAAAATGAAAGAACAATACACAACCAAGTGGCCCCGGCAGGATGAAGACAAAGGACAGCCAGCACTTAGTTTGAACCAAAGAGGTTTGCAATGACTGATGGAGAAGAGCATTACAATTACTGTAGTAGTAACCACCATAACACCCAGCAGTCTCCGTGGTGTAGTGGTAAGACACTCGCCTGGCGTTCCGCGAGCGCTATGTCATGGGTTCGTATCCTGGCCGGGGAGGATTTACTGGGCGCAATTCCTTAACTGTAGCCTCTGTTTAACGCAACAGTAAAATGTGTACTTGGATGAAAAAACGATTCTTCGCGGCAGGGGATCGTATTCCAGGGACCATAGGATTAAGGACTTGCCCGAAACGCTACGCGTACTAGTGGCTGTACAAGAATGTAACAACTCTTGTATATATCTTAAAAAAAAAAAAAAAAAAAAAAAAAAAAAAAAAAAAAAAAAAAAAAAAAAAAAAAAAACATCGACAGAGCTGACTAGGGGAGCAAGCTGTGGGCTGGGGCCAAGCTGCCTAGTGCCAGCTTGGCCCCAACAAGTTTGAGCTAGTTTTGAGTGAATCTCTTGTTTCATTTGAATAATTTGCAGAGTTATTTGACAGTTTTGAGGGTTTGTTTTTTTTGTGAATTCTCCATTTGTCTATAATGTTTGCTGATTTTCTGTTTTCCTAATGGGGTGGCAAACTGTCTCTTGCTCTTTGCATATATCTGAAGAAGCCAGATAGGCCAAACAGAGCTCTTGACACTGATATGACCCATTACATAGAACAGCCTCACCGAGATACCTTCAGGGAGCCACCGGGAAGGGCTTCCAGAGAATAAAACCTAGTTATTTTTCATAGCTACCCCATCTTGGAGTGGTCTAGGGCAGGAAACCTTGCACTCTCACAAGGTTGTGATTAAAGCTTTCAATAGAAGCAAGATTACTTCAAAACTGAATACCTCGCTGCAAAGTACAAAATATTACACAGCTTTTCAAATATCCAACTAAAAATTTAGGTGAAGAGGTGAGATCAAAGAGCTGAAGTTCAAACCTCCAAAAGCACAACTAGGAGAATGTCAAGCAGAAGGGCACAAGATAGGTAGGGCCAGGAGTGTTGGCCCTTCCATCACTTGCTGCAGTTCCTCTTCCCCATATTTCTGATAAATTTCCACACCAATTAAATTCCAGTTTTTCTGCCAGTAGCTTTCTCAAATTTAAGCTCCTGCACTAATACACTTGTCTTCCATTGACGAATCTTTTGGTATTCTAACATGCACCCTTACCAATAAAATTAAAAATATTCACATTTCTTTCAAGTCCACCCATAAAGCTTTCAAAGAACTCTCTACACCTCTGCTAATATCCTCATCAGTTAATATTCTCCCATTTACATCATTAATTAACACTTTCGCGCCCTCTGGGATGGTAAAAAAAAAAGCGGTATGTGCTCTGGGCGTTTTTGCTGCGTAAGCGTAAAAACAAAAATGTGTATACTCTTTTTACTTTCCTTACCTTAGTTCTCGAGCTACGTATTTCATTTTGGTACCAACGTGTTCGCAATAAAATTCTCTAGAAGAACATCAGTAAAAAAAGTCACGAAACATATAGGGATACCAGCACCAAATAAATAACTACGAAGATGACTCGCCGTGAGCGCCCAACAGCAACAAAATGTTTTTACTCTTGGGATTGTTATCACCTCCACACTTGTCCTACAGCGTTAATTTTGGTATCAATGGACTCGCAATGAAATTCCCAACACGGTGATATGAATATAAGCATAGAATAATGATTGGGAAGTGGTGAAATTGTTACCCGGTATCGGTGACGGGACGACGCACGGCGCTTTGAAAGTTTATACTTATTTCACTCTCATGACATTAATTTTCTATGTACGTCATTCATTTTTGTGTCAATGTGTTCGCAATAGAATGTTCTATGAGCCCATAGGTAAAAAAGATTAACAAAGCGTAAGATAGAATAGCGCCAAATATAAAACAACGCTGGAACATATCAGTGAGCGTCAAACACACATGAAATGTTTTTACTTTTGTTATGTTTGTCAAGTTTATACTTGTTGCACACAGTTATTTTTGGTTGTACATTGATCGGAATAAAATTCCCTAAACAGACATATGCATACAATACATGATATGGGGGAAGCATTACCAGTATAAACGGCTAAAGTCACCCACCTGCAACCCGTTTGGGACATAATACCATTTGATCGAAGTGGTCCACACCTCTCATGAACTTATTGTACCATGCAGCCTAGTGGTGAGAAAGAGAGCCTCATGGCGCGCAGTTTGAAACAAACCCAAAGTAAATCGGATAAAAATTGAATTTTATACAAATATTTTAAAAGAGGACATAACTTTATGTCCACCATGCGTTAGCGGTTAGCGAAACAGGACTCCTCGGTGAGTCCTGATCCCGCGAAAGTGTTATTAATACAGTACTGTACTTTCCTTGGCTTTTCCACCAGTCTCCATACTACATTTCTTTTATGGCTTCCTGTCTAAAAATTGCATTATATTTCCTTCATGACTCCTCATTCTTTCTGTAAAATACATGCCAAATATACCAATTGTCTTTCATTTTTTCCAACCACTATCAATCTCCCCACTCCCAGTAAATGGCACTAGACACTACACAGAGAAATCAGACTTGCAGACAGTAAGTTCCAATAACATGGCTGAAAATTAATGCCCAACCCACACATGAAAAAAAAAAGTGACGATGTTTTGGTCCCTCCCGGACCTTTATCAAGTCGTGTCAGTGGACCGAAACATCGTCACTTTCCGTTCTTTTTGTATCGGTTGGTTAAGTATTAAAGCAACCTTTAAAATGTGACACTTATTCAATACCTTCATTTTATATTACCAACCTTCATGGATGGAAGAGGAAAGTTGAATTCCCGGTCAAATCGGCCAGGCCTCCGCAGAGCAGGATCAATTGCATCAATTCTATTGGTAGCGCCAATGACAACAACTTCGCCACGAGAATCTAATCCATCCATAAGTGCTAAAAGTGTAGATACAATACTGGAATGGATTTGATCTTGCCGAGAAGAACGTACAGGAGCAAGCCCATCTATTTCATCAAAAAAGATTATAGAGGGACGCATTTGATAAGCCTGAAAAAATATGCATTATATTACTACAGTACCTCAAAATATAAACAAAAATATTAAAATGTAGACAAAAATATATCCATGAATTGCTATAATACAAGTATAGTACAGGTACGGGCAGCCCTCGAAACGTGCTATTGGAAAACCAGATTCGATGATATGTAAGCAAGCACTTGCATACCAACTTTTTTTTTTAAATCATGATACTTTAAAAGAGTAAAAATTTACCCAATCAATGATTATCTCATTCTGTTCTCAACTGTAATTCTCTTTATTTTCAGTTATCTTATTGTCCTCCTCTGTTTACCCTTGGGTTACCCTAGAGCACTTAATTATTTCATTATCCAAAAGTCATGCATCTCTAAGTATTTATCTTTAATTTCCCAGTATAGGTCCAATTATACTATTAAAGAACAAGAGAAGAAAACTTGCATAACTCCTAGCATTTAGCTTTTTTATTATTGATTCGTTAATGATTTTGAAATTTCATACTCTTATGAATTTGTAGTATACGAATTCTTATTGCAGTAGAGTAAGCGTTAAGAGGGAATTAAGGTTGCATTAGTTACCTTCTTACTTTTAAGTCTGTGACTTGAATGATTAAGTTTTTTGATAAATTTGATCAGTTACTTGTGTGTTTACAGTAACTGGATTAGATTTTCCTACAGTTTCTATTAATTAATAGTAATAACACATATGTAAACACATACCACACCTCAAAACAGACAAGACCCCAGTTAAACACGGACAACTCAAGCCTCATACATTCACACGGAGCCCACTGCCCATGCAGGGTGACAGACCTGCTGAAGGGAATGAAACGGAAGCAAAACTAATTCACACAATGGCAAAGGGAACAGGCCCCGAAGAGTTGTCAGAGAAAAAAGCATGAACTAAACAAAGAGGAAACAATAGAACCTTCTATCCCCTGAATCCACCGTTGACATTAAAGTCATTGGGTTTAGACCCCCAGACTAATGATGGCATTGGCACCGAGATGGTATGGACCTGATGATAGTATTGTCCTCGAGATGGTATGGACCTGATGAAAGCATCGACTCTGGAATACCAGGGCATAAGCTCTGGGGAAACCACCAAGAGGTCCCCAGAAAGGGGCATTTTATTACTCGACACACATACACACACACAATATTTTTCGTCAAACTAGTGGCAGCAACAGTGAACATTTTGGTACTAAATTTATATATTTAGGGAGTTAATTTCTACTCAAAAACTTAAAATGATTATGAAGGAAGCACCTCAAAACACATTTTCCCAAAGCGCCAAGACCTGACCATGTGCACACTGTGCCCAGGTCCTGCGTCCCAACACTAAACACAGCTACATTTTATGCTAAAACTCGGAAACAAAATTTTTTTTGTACTGAAAATATTTAAATGAACACAAACATGTTCTGACCATGAAATTTGTTATGTATCCTGACCAAGAGCAGGGATACACTATGTATCTAAAGAGTCTTCACTGAGAAAATGCTTCAATAACGGGAGGTTAAATTCCATTCACAAAGGTGAAACACATGGCATAAATACATGCACTCATAGTAGATCTATGGACACCACACAGAAGTCACTAACCCCTGCTATTTTAAGTACAGGATAACATTTCATAATTAAAAAAAAAATCTGATAATATTTAAAAACAATTACAAGCGAATGAACAAGAAACAAAATGGAGGACTTATGATGATGTTCGTAAGATTGGGAATTCATAAGAAACCTCCTGCAGATGAACTGGGCCCTAGTGCCAAAACCCCAGAAAGTTCCTAAGAAACCTCCTGCAGATGAACTGGGCTCTAGTGCCAAAACCCCAGAAAGTTCCTAAGAAACCTCCTGCAGATGAACTGGGCTCTAGTGCCAAAACCCCAGAAAGTTCCTAAGAAACCTCCTGCAGATGAACTGGGCTCTAGTGCCAAAACCCCAGAAAGTTCCTAAGAAACCTCCTGCAGATGAACTAGGCTCTAGTGCCAAAACCCCAGAAAGTTCCTAAGAAACCTCCTGCAGATGAACTGGGCTCTAGTGCCAAAACCCCAGAAAGTTCCTAAGAAACCTCCTGCAGATGAACTAGGCTCTAGTGCCAAAACCCCAGAAAGTTCCTAAGAAACCTCCTGCAGATGAACTAGGCTCTAGTGCCAAAACCCCAGAAAGTTCCTAAGAAACCTCCTGCAGATGAACTGGGCTCTAGTGCCAAAACCCCAGAAAGTTCCTAAGAAACCTCCTGCAGATGAACTGGGCTCTAGTGCCAAAACCCCAGAAAGCAAACAGAATTTAAGAGTAATAAATGATGGAACAACAGAAGCACAGTTTACCTCTTGTAGCCTAAATTCAGTAAATATGTACTCATTAATGTATAAGAGTATTAATGAAACATTACCTGATCAAACAGAAGTCTGAGTTGTCTCTCGGATTCTCCCACCCACTTGCTAAGACAATCTGCACCTTTCCTCATGAAAAATGCAACCTTTTTACCACCAACACTGCATTCATTAGCTAGTGCCCTAGCCATTAGTGTTTTCCCAGTTCCTGGTGTGAATAAATAATACAAAGTTGAGATGGACACAATTAATTTAAGTTTATAAAATATTAAATAATGGCAATACATTTTTTTAAATTAACAAAAATGAAACATACAAATGAGAACAGCAATTATTAAAACCAACCTTTTTACACAGGAAAAAAACTTAATGGCTATTTTCAAGATTAGAATTTTTTGGTAACTCAAGTTAGCAAAGAAACTTAGGTTCAAATATTACTGTGACAAATTATTCAAAATTTCATAAATAAATGAAGCCATTAATTGTACAGGCATACCTCAGTTTAAGAGTTTAATTGGTTCCTGGAGACGCCTCGTATTCCGAAAACTCGCATTCCGAAGCTAATTTCCCCATAAGAAATAAAGGGAAATGAATTAATCCGTTCCTGACTACCCCAAAAACCCCACATCAAACTAAATTTTTATACCTAATTCATCTAAATAAACCTACTAAACTATGTTCAAGTTATTACTTACCTTGCTGTTGAATGCTGTAGGCGTATGGAAGATGGTGAGGAGGTGGGAGTAAGAGAGGAGTTACTGTTTGGAAGGGGAGTCCCCTTCCATTATCACATCAGGCAGTGAGGACTTCACTGGTATGCACACTCTGGCACATTTTGCCTGCATACCACTAGGACTTGCTTGTTTTACTAAGAATTTGTCTAATGACACTTGTTTTTCCCTACATTTTAACACTTGTCTGTAGTAAGACATCACATTATCATTTAAAAGGTCAATGCAACGGCCTGCTACAGCTTTATCTGGGTGAGTTTTTTCAACAAAACTTTGCAGTTCTTCCCATACTTCACACATTTTCTTAATCAAGAAGGGACATCCTCTACTCACAGCTATTTTCTTAGGTTGAACCTTACCAATGGCTTTCTTGAGACCCATGGCAAGATATATAATGACAACTTTTATGCTCAAATGGCCAAAAAAACCGATAAAAAACTGTAAATCCTTGTGAAGAATTCAGGTGGGATAGTCACTGGACACGAGACACTGGTAAACTGAGGCGCGATCGCCATGCCATCACGCGCCAGTCGGCCTGTACACGTATCAACAAACTCGCTTTCCGAGGTAACCCTCGACTTCCGAGACATATTTTCCGAGGAAATCCTACTCGTCTTCCGAAAAACTCGCATACAGGGACACTCGCATTCCGAGGTACCACTGTACCTTGCTTTACTACTAGTTTCTCAGACACCCACCTGAATATTTTTATTTGCATCTTTCCCACAACAAAGAGCAATTGAATAGTCTGATAGATTACAATAACAAATGAAGTCATTACATATACAACAACTACTAAAATATAACTACTGTAGATGCAATTTGATGGTTAGTGATCCCTGGAAGGTTCCCCAGCCCCTACAGCAGGCACCTCTCAAATGAATGTTTAATTTTAGAAAACAAAAAATACCTTTTGTTACCACACATGCATTTTAAAATATAGACAAAAAGAGGGAGATTGAGTGTGGATTCTGATGTATGGTAAAATAGGCATATGGTTGGCAGGTTGTGGTATGGGGTAGTGTGGTGTAAGGAGAGATGTGGACATATGATCCCAGAGGTATGAATGGGAGATGGTGGTGGGAAATAGTTAAGTGTTCAACAAGGAGGTAGAAGATGTAGCTACAACAGAACATGACAAACCACAGAAGAGGAAAGACCTTGAAAGAGCTTTCAGTACCCAGTCCAAGCCTGATTGTCAACAAAGACCAAGAAGAACAGTACATGGAGCCACAATGATTTGCTCCCCAGATGTAAGACAGATGCAAGCCTCACAACACATGCTCTTAAAAATGGCACTTTAAATCAGTAGAAAATTTGCACCCGTAAATACAGTCGAGGGACACAACAAAAGCTCCTGAACTTCTGAAGACCAAACCTAACTGCAAAACTGGCAGAAGATAAAGCAGAAACCTCAAACCACAACCATGAAGCTATTCAAGTTTATTATTATACAAAAAAAATTGAAAGTAATAAAACGCCTCTTTCTGATAAGTCGATGGTGACTCCCTGTTGTCAGCAACCTGGATAGCTCCATCCACTTCGAATCACACCAGGCTTTTATAAGTCACTGCAAGCCTACCAGGTACCAGAGGCCAAAACTTGACCCACTTTACAGAGCAGCAGGGAGCTAATTAGACAAAATTCCTCAGCTCAGAAAAATGCCATACAATGAAAAAATACAGATAACAGCAAGGAAAACAAAACCAGAAACGAGACCCCTGAAATGACAGACTGAACTAACTTCACTTGAGCTTTTGGGAATGACAAAAGCCATGCAAGGCTCCCCAAGGAAGAGAGGGTTGCCCAGTGACCACCACCCACGAACAATCTGGCACCTTGTAATGTAACCAGAAAGAACCGGCTGACCCGAACTCAAAAGATCTTAATCCTGAAGGAGGAATAAAAGCCAAATCTGCACATCTGCCGAGAGGAAAAGACCGGTGGCTGGAAACCTTCACACACGGATGCCTCTCAGGATTCAAAATTAACCGATTCAAAATGGAGAGAAGAGCAATCGAGGCATCCGTCTTAAACACAAAAAGGGGGTATAATAAACCCTTGACGTTTTGAGAATATCCCTCCACAGAGGATCCTAAAAACCAATCAGGGTTGAAGGGCAACTCCACAAGCTTTCCCAGCCCTAAAAATCCCATAAATCAAAGGCTCCATGGTGGATCTATGTTCCATGAATTATGCTGACAGAAAAGCCTCTTCCCACAGGGAAGAATCTGCAGTCACAACACTCCTGGTGGAATGTTGTGACCAAATGACCAAATGTGTCTTTTTAGGGGCTTCATTGTCTGTTTTGTCTGCCTTGCCATTATTCGTTTTGTTTCACTATCTTACCGATCTCCGTTTCTTGGGGTGAGCGATCATGTATCCTCACCTACCTAAGGGGGCCAGGTTTGAGCCTCAAATGGTGGTAACAAAATCTTTGAACATAATGATAATATGTGTTGCAAGAAATTCAGGTAGCTCTGCTGTTCACATGATTCAGATCGGGTTTCACTCAATATGGTCCACACTAATGAGTAAGCATTACTGAAATTGGCAAATACATAATATTCCTTTGCTAAGTATGAAATATTTATTTGTGCAGATGATGAGTCAAAAAAACGTGGTTGAAGAATGTTGACCAAACCACACACTAGAAATTTAAGAGACGACGACGTTTTGGTCTTTTCTGGACCATTATCAAGTCGATTGTGAAGAGACAAGAAAGGCACAGGCAATTTGTGTTTATGTATTTGTATTGTCATCAATACTTATTTGTATTGATGACATTTGGAATTATATTTGCAATACATATGCCTTATATGTCTAACTGCAAAATAACAACTCCAAAGCGCTTCTGGAGGGGTCAAACGATGGTTTCCTATTGCCGAGAGTATTCCATTAATCTAAAGCGGAAGGTCATCATATCAGCCCTTGCATGTCATTAAAAGCCTAGTAAGGATCAGAGGACAAAACCTGGCCCCCCTAAGTGAAATACAGAGAGCAGGGGATCCATGATCACCCTCACTGAAAAATCAATCCCCCAGTTGGCAATGCAAAACAACTAGGATAAAAAAAAAAATACAGAATTAAGCAAACACTCCACCCAGTACTTTGGTCTTACCACACCTCTCCCTCACCCCCTCCCTAGAAGCAGCTGCCCAACACCTGGTGGCAGCACCAAGGAAGCTGCCGGCTTCCCCAACCAGAGATTGTTGTCCCTCTTGGCTGCGGTTGACGTATCTTGGTGATCCTTCTGGTTGGCTTCTTTCATGTTTATCAGCGTCTTGGCCTCTACGTGTTTACTGTCCTGGCAGCATCTTTTAATGCCAAAAGACATTTCTTGGACCCATAGGTTGTGATGATGTGCTGTGGGTTTCTCATCTGAGACATTGTGGGAAATGAGCTCTGGATTCACAAAGAGAGCAGCCCCAGAAACAGCATTAATTATAATTAAACCCCCTCTTACTAGGGAAAGTTCTTTATTGGTTTCCCTTTACCTACTGTTTCCTTTATTGACATGTAGATCTAGTGTATTAGTTCAGGCTCAAGTGCAACGATGGTGACCTAGCAGAACCAACGGTTGCAAGGTGCTGCTATCTGGAGGGGGAGGAGGAGAGGGGGAAGAAGCAGAGAGGTTTTTTGGGTACAATATCTGAGATAACTGATTTTTGGTTTTGTATTCATTCATTCCAAGCAATTTCTTTGCATGTTTTGAGTTTTTTGTGACCCATTTCCTCAGTGTGTGAAGTATTATGACTTCCCCAGTTTTCCCTGCCTCTTTGGGGAAGCAGGATTCTGGAACCTGCTCCCAGTACCTGCTTGATGGGGTTCTGAGAGTTCTTCTACTCCCCAAGCCGGCCCGAGGCCAGGTTTGACTTATGAGAGTTTAGCCCACCAGGCTGTTGCTTGGAGTGGCCCGCAGGCCCACGTATCCACCACAGCCCGGTTGGTCCGGCACGTTTTTTTTAGAAAATAGTCTAGTTTTCTCTTGAAGATGTCCATGGTTGTTCCGGCAATATTTCTTATAGTTGCTGGGAGGACGTTGAACAACCGCGGACCTCTGATGTTTATAGTGTTCATTGATCGTGCCTATGGCACCTCTGCTCTTCACTGGTTCTATTCTGCATTTTCTTCCATATCGTTCACTCGTAATTGTTATTTTACTGTGTAGATTTGGGACCTGGCCCTCCAGTGTTTTCCATGTGTATATTATTTGGTATCTCTCTCGTCTCCTTTCTAGTGAGTATATTTGGAGAGCTTCGAGACTATCCCAATAATTTAGGTGCTTTATCGCGTCTATAAGTCATGAGAACGTCATGAATTTGCGTATATCGTGTATATTGCATCAGCAAGACATGAGAACATCACAGATGCCTGGTGTGTTTCATCTGGCCCTGAAATAACAGTACTGGGGCTCTGGGGAGCCACCAAGAATTGCCACCCCACAAAAAGGAAAAATAAAAATAAAATAAAATAAATAATAAACTGATCTTACCAGGTGGCCCATAAAATAAGACTCCCCTTGGAGGAGAAATTTTGAACTTTTCGAACACTTCTGGGTACAGCAGAGGAAAGATAATCATTTCCTTAAGGGCTTTTACATGATGTGAGAGACCACCAACAGCCTCAAAGGAAACTTCTCTATCCAAAGTCATTGGGTCTATGTCTGCCAGGCTTGATCCAATTTTTGCTCGTTCCCTGAAACAACAAAACGTGCTTGAAGAATTATTTAGAAAGCAAGTAATGTACTCAATTTTATAATAATGAATATTGGCAATCAAATTTTGCAATACAAATAATGAAAAGCTGGCTAGATTAAAAGGGGCCCATAGCTTGGATGGTAGCCTGCCACAGCCTTGAGAGCACGGAGCCTCTCTTTACATTGGCGACCCAGTTTGGCTACAACATTACGGTACAGTGGAACTTCAAGACCAAGGTATTTGTATCTGGTTACATAGTCGAGCAGAGAGCCATCATGCAACTGCAAATGTGAGAATTGTCAAAATGATGTATCTCTCATATATTAGGTCACCGATTGATTATGCTGCACCCATGCTTGCTCTAGTGCCTGAGAGAATGCTTGGAGGGCTGGAAAAGATGCAAAACGAAGCCATGAGGATAATCCTCGGATGTCCCCGTACAACTAAATTACTAAACATGATGAACTGAATATTTCATGTGTAAGTGATCGTATCACTGAAATTAATGCTTTAATTGGTATCAAGATGCTTAGGCTAACCCACCCTAACCCCTGCACTGAAGCCCTCCAAGCCTTCTTCCTTGAAAATCAGCATCCCTCCAAATGGATTACCGTAACTGTCAATGTGCTCAGAATGTATAACTTTCATCACCCCTACCTAGATAGAGAACAACACTACTTTCCTGCCCCATGGGAAATCACTCCTTTCCAAATTACTGTCCCCCCCTTTCCCACCCAAGAAGCTGATTAAAGAACAAGCCTTGTTTCGACAAGAAGCAAAGTACAATGCCTTAAGCCAAATTGATGCTTTAGTCAGAGCGCGCTCCATTTCCCAGATTATTTACATTGATAGATCCTTGCATCAGTCCTATGGTGCAGCTGGAAGTGCAGTTGCTGAGACAGGGAGAGATGGTTCCTTCTCCCATGAGTGTGGAGCGCGTCTAAGTAACTGGGCTTCCACTCTTCAAACAGAATTGATTGCCATAATCCTTGCACTCTAGCACGTGTATGAATCCAAAGTTGACACGCTAATTGTAAGTAAGTGACTCCTTGTCATCCTTGACTGCCCTCAGCTTCCTAAGGCATAACTGACGTACTTATCTCTGAAGCTAGACACAGATATAATGAAATAATCAATGATGGAGTCAAAGTTTGTCTCCTGTGGATTCCTTCCCATATTGGCCTCCGAATACATGATAGAACTGACGAGTTGGCCAAGACTTTTGCTCGTAAAGAGGAAATTGATTACCAACTTGGACTGCCTTTGAGCAGCCTGAGGGCAGCAATATCCCAGGAACATCAACTAAATTTTGGAGACTTGAGGCAAAGTGAAATTTACACCAGTTACTCCATCTATCATCATTCTATTATGCAGGAAGAACTGCACGTCTATGGGTCATCCAATAATGTCAGCAGACTTCTAGATGTTACCACTGCTAGGCTTAGGCTCGGCTACAAGTATCTCTGGGAATTTGTAACATCTGCTGATGTAGATTTGACAAAATGTAAACTCTGTCAGCAGAACTATTCGCATACTTTGCGTCATTATATAATGGAATGTGAAAAAATCGCGGAATTAAGAGATAACACCATCAATAGTGTCCAAGAAATGTGTAAGTACTTCATTCATAATGATGTGCTGCCCGAAATCTTAGCAGAGTATCCAAAATTTGCTTACTATAGGTAATGCATACACATGACTGTAAAGCTGCCGCCCAGTTGGGTGGGTGTGCAGCAAAACTAGTAACTGTGCGACTCACCATAGATGTAAAATGCCTTGTATAGTGACTGTTGTGAGCCTCTTGTTGATCACTTGTGACAAAAGATTATTGATGTGTGTATTTGTGTGGGTGATTAAATATGTATGTGTATGTATATATGTATACTTATATATATATGTACATGTATGTATGAGAATGTGTACATGTATATATAACATTAATAATTCTGTAACTAGCGTCAAAATTTTTTTATTTGCTTAGCTAAACGAACTAGAGGGTTCAGTTCCTGAACCGATTATGTGCCTCTGTAATCCTTTACACCACCGCCCACGGGATGGGTATGGGGTGCATAATAAAAAAAGAAATTGACATAATTTTCACAACTACTTCAATATTTTTCTCCCTTCCTATTTATGCTACGATGCTGAAACTTGGACCAGATGAAACACTTTTCATATAGAACTTGTCAAAAAAGTTTGATTGAAATCGAACGAGTTTTCATTTGTTGCATTTTTAGGGCAAATTGGAATCTGAGGCCCCCTTAAGATTTATATTTTTTTTACATCCAGCATCTAAAACATAAGAATGGTTACTATAGAGCTTAGTTAAAAAGTTTTAATTCTGAGAGTTTACAAATATTACTGCAAAGTCATTCTTTTTTGTATCAATAGAAATACCAGACAAAGTTCTATAGACACAATGAGGAAAATATTAAATTATGTTTCCTAACATTAATAACTGAATTCATGAATATAGGTGTTTCTGGAGTGAGCCCTGCTGGCTCCCTCAAGCATGTTGATGAGATAGTCTCCCATTACTAAGTCACATCAGTTATACGAATCCTGTTGGTCTATCAGTGACGACCCAGAACCTGGCCCCCCTCGAAGAGGTACAGGGAGTAGGGGATTGCTATGACCGCCATCACTGGAAAAGCAACTAGAAAGCAAACAGGCAATACAGACAGCTCCATGGTTTGTGAAAATGAAGCACCAAAACAATCAACAGATATGGCAAATATTCACTCAAAACTGGAAATGAAACACACCATAATATACCAAGCTGTCAATAGGTGGCATCCCGGAGCTCCTAGCTTCAAAGCCGGAAACCACTCATTCCTGTTGTTGATGCCAGATGTTCCACATCTGACCTTCTAATCACCTTATCAGAGCAAGTCCCATTACTTCTCCAAGAAATGGTCATGATGAGCCATGCTGCAGACCCAGAGGAGAGTTGCCCAGGCCTAAAGGCAACTAAGTAGGACGTTAGCACTGTAAGCACATGCACTCTGAGTCCAAAGGCCATCCTTTGGACTCTGTCCTATGAGGGACCATTTTGCTATTATATCACTCCTAATTTTTAGTATTTGCTTCACGAACATGTTTTAAAGCCGTACTCCTTGTGTGGAGTTAGCATAATCCGTGCTACAAGCTGAATGGGTTTAGGGCTACCTTTCTTAGAAGTTTGTTTAGCATTGCCCCTGCATTGTCAGAGTACCTTCTCTGGTGCATTTGGCAGTCTGCCCCCAAGAGGCCATGCCACGGGGGGTGGAGTGTCTCACCTAGAGAAGTGCATAAGATGTTGACTCGCATGCAGGGCCTTGTAGTTGGAAGCAATTTATTTTGTTTTGTTGTGGGGTGCACTAGGATTTATGCACTTGTTTATGTAGCGCACCACGGATAACCATCTAAGCCAGGTTTATCCTATAGGCTGCATCTAGTGTGTTCTTCCAGCAATCATCACTGGTGCCTGTCAGGGATATGGAGGCATTGCCTTCACAACTAATGTTTAGTTGGACAATGCCTATCTATATCAGGAATCAGGAGAGGAATATGGTTCTCCTCTCGGGTCATCATGGCTGGTCCCGGGGGCTGATGGGAAGCCCAAGGTGAGTGTCTCTATGATGTCCCAAACCTTTTCCCTAATCAAGGTGAGGACATGGCTGAGATGGAATATTTTACAGCATTCTATGATGAACCACTCATGGAATACATTGTACACCAAACGAACCTGCATGCTGCTTACCTGATTGAGAGGGAAATCACAGAATTTTCACGACTGCAGCGTTGAAAAAAATACCACAGTGGCGGAAATGTATGTGTTTTTGGCACTCTGTTTGTTGATGAAGCACTGTCACAAACATGCAATAAATGACTATTGGTGCAAGGACAAACAAACGCACCACTATATAAGCCAGACTGTGTTTTAGACTATAATATCAACATGCGGTTGATTGATAAATCAGACATGATGATTGGCACTGCAGAGTGTGTGCGGAAGACATGTAGGTGGACGAAAAAAGTGTTCTTCCATCTTGTGGACATGAGCATGCTGAACTGTTTCAACATGTACCTTGTGAGAACTGGACGTAAGCCCACTTTCCGTGACTTTGTATTTGATGCTGCAATACAGTTATTAGGAAAGTTTGCAAAAGATGTCCCAGGTATTCAGCGGCCCATCATAAACCACTGTTGCAGCATGCTGGTACTCCACGCCTCGCTCACACTGAAGGCTTCCTAGCACACAAACTTAAGTATTTGCCACCTGGTGTGAAGCGTGCAATAGCCCAACGTGATTGCTTGGTGTGTAAAACAACGACACGTAGAGACAAGAAACGGAAGCTTGTGCAAACATGGTGTGAAACGTGTGGTATCCCATTATGTGCTGTCGACTGCTTCAATGACTACCACAGTCTAGAAATCTTCTAAGTGTGCTTCAAAGTGTGTATAGCGTGTGCGAGTGTGTAAATATGTAAACATATAAGCAGATAGCGTGTGCGTGTGTGTAAATATATACAAATATAAGCAGAACATACAATATAATAGACTGTAATGACATATTATATTGCCGTAATTGAAAACATTTGTGTGCGCCTGTGTATACTCAAATATGCAACAATTATTGATACTTTAACCACTCCTGGATTCTGGTTCTATCCTATTACAGAATTTCACCTTCAACCCTCCCCCCTTCTTCCTTGGGGTGTGCTTTTGTGTCATTCAGTTCTACAGAATCATCTTATTTAAGGAGGTTTGTCATTGCGCTTTTCACGACTGTCAGCACTTGCAGACCTTTTATAGTTTCTGCGGCAAGATCAAAACCTTGCGTCTCTTCTGGACTCATCCTCTTTCAAGTTCAGGTCGTCTTTGGTCTTTTGGCTTAGGTATGAGGTCCCCTGCTTTGTCCTGGCTTGCTGACAATCTACACCTTTCCTTGGGGGGCTTGGCAGGGCTTCTGCTGAACCCAAGCTCTCAAGTTGCAGGAAGTGAGTTAAATCTTTCAGGTGTTCTTAGTCAAGTGGCAGCTCCTTGTGCAGCTGACCATGCTCACTGGACTTCTTACTGTTGATGACCATAGGGCTCATACCACTGAGTGACACCTAGAAAAGCATCTCTAGTCAGGAGCCGCTCAAAGAAAACAGTTAACCAGAACTTACACAAGAAGTGAAGCATGGAAAAACATGTACATCAAGCAAACACTAAAATATCAAACGCAAATGCAAGCAAATGGTTCCTGCACGTCAAGAATGACCATCTGTCTGAAAACCAGGACTACGAGCACTAGAGTAACGAGTATCGTAATCGTGATGTACTGTACTGGCATGATGCACCAGGCAAAATAGCCGATGTGTAAGATGGGGGAGATTGAGCTGCTAGGTGCACGACCACCTGGCAGCACACAGGTGTAACTAGCAAGTGAACTACGTCACAACCTGACGATTCGCTCAATTTGGTCTCTCGATTTCTATTTTTTGTTTACTTTACCGGTTGTCCGATTGTCTCGCTCAACTTTCTGGTAGCTTTTTCTTAGTTTGAGTGATCAAGTATTCCCTGCTCTTTGCACCTGTTAAGAGGAAAGGTTTTGGCCTATGGTCCCTAGTAGGCTTACAATAAATTGTAAGGACTCATCATGGATTTAATTGGGTGGAGCTATTCAGTGAGCTAGCAACAGGGAGTCACCAAAACAGCCTTCCCAGAAAAGACTAATGGTTAACCGAGCTTATACTATTCCAACAGCTGTGCAAATCACCAAAAATTAATAGGACACAGCATTGAGTCCTTCATTAAAATATTTGCCAAAAATCCATTTTTTTATCCAATTTTTGGGGGGACTGATTTTAAACTGCGCGCCACCTTTGGTAGGCCATGTGGCACCCAATGGCGGGTGCCTGGGCGGGGCTGATAAGCAGTAATGATTGCCCACCATCCACTCCACCTATAAAAAACATGGGTTGACTCTTCAGGAAACGTTTTCCTGCTGCAGGGGGAGTGGATAAAACTAATGTTCAACTCGTGTCATGCTCCACAAACAACACTGAATTGGTAAGTACAAAAAGTTTTAGTTTTCATATAGTTTATATTGTTGTTTATACTTTATTATAATGCATTTGCAATATTGTTCTTCAGTTTGGCCTTATATGCATGTATCCATCTAAAGCATTCTATTAGAAAAAATTCATGCCAAAATGAGCACTGTAACACGAAAATTGATGTTAGCAACCGGAAAATATACTAAACATTTGTGGGTCGGAATTGGGAGTGTAGCGGGTGGGCTTCTGGGCGCTCCCTTGCCGGTTCATCTTGATCGATGAACACTTGGTTCATCTTCAACTTGTCGGCGGGTGGAGCGTGACCAGGTTTTTTATTTTATATGCATATACTCCTCTAGAGAATTCTATTGCGAACCCATTGATACCAAAATGAAAGACCTAGGACGAAAATTGAGGTGACCAAAGTCAAAAAGAGTGTACACATTTTATCGCTCTTGCGCGCTCCCGAGTCACTTGCTTGCACATTCTGTTTGCTGCGGGTGGTAAGCCGGGCTTTTGGAGTTTTTATGCATTTACTCTTCTAGAGACTTCTATTGCAAACACATTGATACCAAACTGAATATCTTAGGACGAGAATTGAGGTGACAGTTGAAAAGAGTATACACTTTTCAGAATTACTGCGCGCTCCCGTGGAATGCCCAATCCCACCCAGGGTAGTGGGGAGGTCGTGCACCCAGGGTAGTGGGGAGGTCATGCACCCAGAGCACAAGTGTTAATAAAGAACTATGTTTGATGGTAACTACTTACTTCAGTGTTCCTGAAAGTAAATCCTCTGGAGTCAAGTTCATAGGAAGGCAGCGGTTTCTGGACTTTGCCATGCTTCTAGCTTTTCGTTCTTCAAAACCAGCTTCATCTGAACTACTGCTATTGCTAGTAGATGTATGATGAGCTGCCTGCAGACAAACAATTATCTGGTAAAAACAAATATCTAAAAGACAATGAATTCTACTATTTACTGAGGTACTGCGAGACTTCTGTATACAGATTTATTAATACTGTAGTGTTATGTTCAACTTGAAAATATTACACGAGTCATCTGTCCCTTGTCATATTAAAGCAGGAACTAAAGGTGCTGAAGATTCAGGCTCATCATCAGAATAGGCCCATAGCAATTCAGATATTTTGAAGTACTGTATCTCAAAATAAAAATATTAATGTTATATCAAATAAAATTGTGCTAGTTAACCAGCACAGTGGCATCTTAACTGTCAAACATCTTACTCATTATAAGTGGACAGAAAACAGGCAGGAAGACACCAATTTCACAAAACACACAACTCTGATTTACAGAAAGAATAACCGAGCTAACGATCAGCTAATAACACACCCAGATAAGCAGCGTCTCAAAAATAAAAATTATGTATTTATTTTAGTTTTAGTGTTTAGTGCAAATAAAACAAATATTTAACCTAATATTTAGTCAGCCCTTGATCCAGATCTCCATCTATTTATATCTTATCAAAATGTCCAGTATTAAAGCTTTGGTCATAACTAAATGAAGTTCGTTGGCCAGCAAGCCTTGACACACCAAGTACAATTCAATACTTTTGTGATGGGAAGTCAAAAGTAGGCAATTCCTCCATCTTGCGCTGTTATACTACTGCTGCCCTACAAGCTGGTCCCCACCATTTCTTCATCTCCATTGCCCTCAATTTGTCGTTATTCATTTTATCTTCTTGTGCTATTCAATTCTATTGTACTACAACACTTTTCTTATAAATAATTATTTTTACATGTTTTACTGTGCTGTACTTTACCATAAATTCTTTGTGTGTGAAAATTTTCTGTATTAAAAGAACTATTTGAGGACATGAATAACAATAATGTACTTTATTTGTGTGTGAATGCAGTTTGACCTCTTTTTACTATACAATTTACAGTTTTGTTTGGACAAATCATTATGTCAAAATTATAGCCAAATTGCCTGGTAAGAGCAGTAAGGGTACAACTGGCAAGCATAAGAGCAACTTCCTCACCAACAACAAGTGGCCAAGTTATTAGGAGCAACTTGATCATTTAATTACTCAAAAGAGCTTAAGAAATTTCTTGTCTCACTTTCCTTTGTGGTAATGCGTCTTCATATATACTGTACATGCAATACATATATACAGTATATTGAAATTATGGTGTGTGCACTAGTGATACTTATTCATTTGTGTGAAGTTCTTGTTCATCAGTGATGGTGGTAAGCATGTATACACTCCCCAATACAGTGCTTTACATAATATTTGACCAATTTATACATATACCTGTGTATATATTATATATATATATATATATATATATATATATATATATATATATATATATATATATATATATATATATATATATATATATATAAATATATTATACTTATATATTATACTTATATATATATATATATATATATATGTATATATATATATATATATATATATGTATATATATATATATATATATATATATATGTATAATATATATTATATATATATATATATATATATATATATATATTTATATTAGGCTGAAGTTATATAGTGTGCATTTTTAATGTGTATAAGTGTGCGCGCGCGCAGGTGTTGCACTGCATCAACAACTTGACATTACCTGTCACCCCAATACATAATTCCTCATAAAAGAAAAAGAAAAAAGGAAAATAACATTAATAAATGGGAACATATAATCTCGTGCGGCACCTCACCTCATCTGTCAACACTTCCTGGAATGCAGCCGAACGCTCCTCACTCCGGTGACTGAAATCTATGACGTCACGAACCATTTTCTCCGGCTTATTACTCCTAAACTAACGTAAGTAGAATTTTTGTAATTATTTTTCTAATGATCAATGCGGATTATTTTACAGTACAATAAGAAACAAATAATTTTGTTTACGTGCACCTGAAAAGGTACTTAAAAATGCCCACACAGTTCGAGGGTTAAGGATAAGGATTTGGATAAACCTATTTGCCAATGGTTAACGTAGCATCACAGCCAGAGGGGTAGCGGTTCGTGGCGCATAATTACAGTCTTTAGCTGAAAGAATGGAATGAACCATTGGCACTGAGGACTTCAAGACCAGTTGTGAGTAGATGCAGAAATTAAAGAGCCAGCATGACAGTACTGTACTATGTCATGCTGTACTGTGTAACAGCCAGCATGACATAGTACTGTACTATGTCATGCTGTACTGTGTAACAGCCAGCATGACATAGTACTGTACTATGTCATGCTGTACTGTGTAACAGCCAGCATGACAGTACTGTACTATGTCATGCTGTACTGTGTAACAGCCAGCATGACATAGTACTGTACTATGTCATGCTGTACTGTGTAACAGCCAGCATGACATAGTACTGTACTATGTCATGCTGTACTGTGTAACAGCCAGCATGACATAGTACTGTACTATGTCATGCTGTACTATGTAACAGCCAGCATGACAGTACTGTACTATGTCATGCTGTACTATGTAACAGCCAGCATGACAGTACTGTACTATGTCATGCTGTACTGTGTAACAGCCAGCATGACATAGTACTGTACTATGTCATGCTGTACTGTGTAACAGCCAGCATGACAGTACTGTACTATGTCATGCTGTACTGTGTAACAGCCAGCATGACAGTACTGTACTATGTCATGCTGTACTGTGTAACAGCCAGCATGACATAGTACTGTACTATGTCATGCTGTACTGTGTAACAGCCAGCATGACAGTACTGTACTATGTCATGCTGTACTGTGTAACAGCCAGCATGACAGTACTGTACTATGTCATGCTGTACTGTGTAACAGCCAGCATGACATAGTACTGTACTATGTCATGCTGTACTGTGTAACAGCCAGCATGATATAGTACTGTACTATGTCATGCTGTACTGTGTAACAGCCAGCATGACAGTACTGTACTATGTAACAGCCAGCATGACAGTACTGTACTATAACTGTATTTTACTGCCTCTGGAGAACAAAGACCGGTCTGTGCTACAGAATGATTAACTTCAAAATGTATTCAATTTGTTCTACCATGCTACAGGGTATACAGAATTTATTTGTTATATCTAAATACAGTATGCAGAAATACATGTTGTATTATTTGCAACAAGAGACATATAGAAAATATGATGATAATTAGCCTAAAAAAAGGGGAAATCATTAGAAAAATAGGATTAGCTCTAATTTGGATTCAGTCTGGAATGATATAATCCAGGTTTCAGGGATCACTGTACACATTTCTGCCTGACTCGTGGTTAAGCATATCTTGTTTACATACTGTAACTTCTAATGTAAATGTAAATACCCAAAACATTATATAGAGTAAATATTTTGATTGACGGTGATATCTGCATCATCCTTGACTATCCCAACCTTACCTAAAATACATTAAAAGGCTATTTACATTTAAGTAATAAAGTTGTATGCAGAAGAGGGAAACAAATTGGTTGTGCTCTTGAGAGAGTCAGCAACTGAGCTGCGAGTTATGACAGTGGTTACAAACAACTGCGTTCTCATTACCATTAATATCACCACACTAATCTTGGGCCAAAATGTTTAAATATGGTACTAGAGACTGCAGCATCTGTTGCTGATCACCGAGTGGCAGCGACTGTAAACGTGCACTATAAATCAACACTGCCTAGGGCAAGCGTTGAGATACATGCTGTATCTCACATGGCTGTAAAGGCTGCAAGGCAGTAGTCTGCAGTCTCCCACGGTGGACGCTGATGTAATGATAATTGCTATCAAACTGTATAAAACAACCTGAAGTAGAAAATATTTCTTCATTTGATGCACATTGTCAACAACATAACTTGCAATAATGATGCCATTCTGTAAGTTAAAGGTAAACTACATGTTTACATCGTGCCGATCCAAAGTGGTATCTCCAGTATCTGTGTCGGTTATATTTCTCAATCTTGTACAAAGATTATGAATACTATCCAGTACTGAAAAACAGAAAGACCACCACCTTCAAGATATACATACAACCAGATATATTACAGGTGGCCCTCGAGTTGCACGTGAGTTATGCTCAGGTTAAACCGCTCCAAATGTAAAAACTTGCAAATTTATCTTAAACATCAATAGGAAAAATAGTGTTAGGTTATAGAAACCAACTATTTTCCACGCTTTAAACAATATCGGGGAGTAATATCAAGGAGCCGGTCGGCAGAGCAGACAGCACACTGGACTTGTGATCCTGTGCTCCTGGGTTCGATCCCAGGCACCGGCAAGAAACAATGGGCAAAGTTTCTTTCACCCTATGCCCCTGTTACCTAGCAGTAAAATAGGTACCTGGGTGTTAGTCAGCTGTCACGGGCTGCTTCCTGGGGGTGGAGGCCTGGTCGAGAACCGGGACCGCGGGGACACTAAAGCCCCGAAATCATCTCAAGATAACCTCAAGATATCTATTTTATCAATAATATATAATCCTCCTTTCACTTTCCAACTACAAATAAAGCACATAATGGGGCTCAGAATGCTTGTTATGTGCAATGATGCAAGAATAAAATATATTTTTCAGAAACACAAGTGAAGTGTATGGAAGTCCGACAAACAGCCAAGAACGCAGTACTGTACTCCCACGGGGTACGCATCGATTATCTACGTTTAATCCATATTTGTCAACTGACGTCCCATTGAAATTCTACCGTGCATTTCGAAACTTGGAATAAAAGTCCTTACCCGTGTACCACCATATCCGCGTTCTTCAAAACCGTGCATATCAAGGGCCACCTGTATAAAGAAACAAGAGAGTGTGCTGAGTTTAATGAAATGCTCATTTCTGGCGGACACTTCAGTACCTTCCCTAAGCCTATGGCACTGGATCACTAGACAAGTAACAGGCATATCAGGATCCTATGTCTTTTTTCTACCTTTTTTAAACCATATTGACCCCAGGGGATAAGGAAGCATACAGTCATCAAATTATTACCAAGGTGAACCACCTACTAACAAAATGTAAGTCATAAAACACTCATGTTTGACAATAAAATAATCTACAAAACCTCAAACTATCAAACAAGTTTTTGTTTTGGCAAACAGTTTCTTTTGACCATGTCGTGGCGCAATCAACTAAGGCCCATCTGAGATCATACCGGACGTAGGTTCGAACCCTCATCACGGCCCTTGTGGATTTGTTTATCATACAAGGTTCTTAACCTTCACAGTCTCGTCACCAGGTGGCAACCCGAGCAGCTCCTAGCTATACAGAAATATCCAACTCTGGAGCCAAATGATAAAACTACTGAGATGAGAAAGAAGGGAGATTGGGGGATACATAGTGCTACTGGGGACCTACTGAGGTGCAAGCTAGAAAGGAGCATTTTTACAAGAGTAGCATTATTTCCGAGTTGAACCCTTGGTAGCTCCCACCTGAATTTATTCATCACAGCCCTTGCAGAGGAAAATTAAACATTAAACCAAAATTCCTGCTCAGATATAAAACACAAAAAATAACAGAAGGAACATACTCTAAAATATAAAGCAGCTATGTTAGGACCAGGAAAAGGGATTGCTGGACATCAGGGACAGGTTAAGCTGCATAGGGCCACGGAGAATTGATCAGTCTAAAGTATGTCTCTAAAAGATAAAGTATTGGACTGTCGACACTATTCCATCTCCAGAAGCCCTGGATCCATTAAATGGCTGTAGGGATTTTTATTTTTTTTTTTTTACTGCTGCCAAACAAGTATATTTACAGCATACGATTCCTGAAATACACATTAGGTTCGGGAGCTTGACCACTTTACAAATAATTTAAGACAACTGAGCTTAGTAAGAAGAAAGAATGAACTGAGGATTGGGGAAGGAGATTTAAGTCTAGCTTTCAAATATTGTTTCAGAACTGCAATAGAATAAGTCTAACTAATAAGGCCTAGACAACCAGTAGATAGTTCATTCTTGGCCAAGAATGTGGGCAGCATCTGAAGCTCAAGAGATCGATCCAAAGGTCCAAAAGAATAAGAGGCATGCAAAGAATGTAACTGCCTATCCTATTTCCAAAATAAATGGCCAAGAGAAAGGTCAATCCTGTGTGTTTTAGGTGGCCTGTTTCAATCCTCTGTTTCATGTTCAAAGAATGAAACATGACAACAAAGAATTTTAACCCACGGTCCAATGACCAGTACAGTTGAGAAAAATAAGCCTGCCACACAGGAGAAATGGTCCAGCCAAGTTGATAACTGCACAGAAGCCCAAACCCAAGGAAGAGTACTTTTACCAGTGCTGGTAGACAAGGAGCAACATACCTGTATAATCATCACGCATAACTACCCAGACAAAATAAAGTCAAGAACAATTTAACAGCCAGTGACAAAGCAGCAACTTAACGGAGAGCAAAGAACAGCCAGAGAGGCCTCTGTGCCATTTCATACTACTATCTCAAATGAACAAATGAACAGCTGTGAACCATCCCAATAGCTCTAGCATCCAATTATTTAAAAGAGGCAGAGATACAGAAAACAGACCAAGATAGGTCCGAAACCAGGGCTGAGCAGTCACATAGAAAAATAATGTGGTCTTGATAATTCCCTATCTTGGTGCACACAGGGAGGAGCTACAGTGGAGGGAATTGATAAGAGGAAAATCCAACAATCCCAAAATAAGCAAAAAGTGTCCCTTTGGCACCCTGATTTAGAAACTGCACCATATACATGACATCGCCCTGTAGTGTGATCAAGCGTCTTGCATGCAGATGATGAATCACAATAACGTGGCTGAAGAATGTTGACCAAGCCACACACTAGAAGATAAGACAACAAAATTGTGATCCGTCCTGGACCGTTATAGAGTTGATTATGAAGAGATGAGAAAGGCACGGGCATGCCTTGGAAGGGAAGAAAGAGGCGAGGAGGAGGAGGAGGTCTTGGAGGGAAGATAAAAGCACGGCAAAAGATAGGGGTAATAATGAGTATGAAGGGGGTAATAAAAGGAGTAAATGGGAACAAAAGATAGTCAATGAAAAAGAAAGAAGAAGAAGAATTGGTAGGCTTATGTTAGGTCACTTGTATATCCATAGCAATGAAACCCTGTGCAGCTCCATCTTAGTTCAAAGTGTAGACAGGCAGGAGACCACCCTCAAGAATGTGCAAGGCCCCTGAAGGCACATAATCTAGAAGCATAGCTATCATCAAAGTCAACACCCCACAGATTAAGAGAATGCATGGACACCCCTCTGTTTAAGCAGTGAACTACTAGGAGTTAAACCAAATGAAGGAAGCTGTCCAAACCCAGCTATAGATGGATGTACAGACATACAATTCATTCCACCATCTACATCCAAGGCTATCACACCCCTTACCTTGAGATTACCTTGAGGTGCTTCCGGGGCTTAGCGTCCCCGCGGCCCGGTCGTCGACCAGGCCTCCTGGTTGCCGGACTGATCAACCAGGCTGTTGGACGCGGCTGCTCGCAGCCTGACGTATGAGTCACAGCCTGGTTGATCAGGTATCCTTTGGAGGTGCTTATCCAGTTCTCTCTTGAACACTGTGAGGGGTCGGCCAGTTATGCCCCTTATGTGTAGTATCTGGTCAGGCATCCCCCTGACCAGTGTGGTGATCCACAACTTTAAAGCAAAGTTTGACTGAGATTTTGATTATCACAATAGTTCAGTTATAACACAACAGATATATAACAATGCTAGTAGGAGGGCCATAAAGAGGTTAGCCCTCAATTCCCAGTAGTCACTGATAGGTAAGCACTGGAGACAAAGCCCAAGTTCTGACATGATGAAGGAATAAGACATAACAGAACTGAGCCCCAAAATTCCAAGAGAGTGCAAGGGAACTATCAGGCATGATGGGATTTCCACTACACGATCTCTGAAGTGACAGAGCATCAACCAATGAAGAAACCAGTACAATTATAAACCAAACTCTAAAGGCCATGCGGGTCAAATTGAGACGTCCCAACAACCCATAAATCTAACATAACAGTCAGCATCTACCCAACATCACATAGATGTTGGTGCCCAACTACACCAAGGCCTACTCCATCATCTTGAGTTATCTCGAGATGATTTCGGGGCTTAGCGTCCCCGCGGCCCGGTCCTCGACCAGGCCTCCTTTTCGCTACACACTCTAGGGAAGCAGTCCATAGCAGCTGTTTAACTCCCAGGTACCTATTTATTGCTAGGTAACAACGGCATCAGGGTGAAAAAACCTTTTGCCCATTTGTTTCCGCCTCCACCAGGGATCGAACCCGGAACCTCAGGACTATGAATCCGAAGCGCTGTGCACTCTGCTGCCAGGAGCCCTTATAATGGAAGTACTTTCTAGATTCCAAGACAGACAAAATGCACTCCAATGCCCACCAATATATTATGAACCCAAAGTGATCCAGCTTACATAAGAATCACTAGATCCCTGGTTAGATAATGACCTGGGACTGAAAGTTCCAGGTCATACAACTTTCAACCTGGTACTTTAGAAAGTCCCCTGTAGGATGACTGTAGCCAGTGTTCCTACAGGTATAACTCATGGAGCACTACACAGGTCAGAATGGTAAGGGCTCTGGTCACTAAGTTGAGGCTGTAAGTGATAATTAAGGTGTCCCACTTGAGACGTCGGTCAATTCCCTGGCGACAAGAAAAATAAGGATTATCAGTAGAAACAGGAATGGACTAGGAACAAGCCATGCCAAAATAAATTGCTCAAAATAATCCTCCTGATCTCCAAGTCAGCAATCACCTGGGTTTGCAATATCCTGAAATGCTAACAGGAAGTCAGCAGATAAACCATTGCCTTGTAAGTTAATACACAAGGTGGCATTCTACCAAAATAGAGGTCCAGCACTGAGAAACCTCAGTCAAAAACGTTAAAAAACTGAAACCCAATAGAAGTGATGGGGCACCACAGATGCCAATTGAAATTTAAAAATACAGTGAAACCCAGAAAAGCTGCAAGCAGCAATGTCAGGCTCAAAAATGGGTTGAGGTATTACAACCCAACCAGCTGATCCAGACACTGAAGAATGCTGCAAGTGAAACTGCCAGAAGCAAGAGTACACGGCTAACAACCATCCCACTTCATTACCACAGACAATGGAGGGTCTAAGTAGCCATGGAAAAAACTGGAACTGAATTAAAGATATGCAAAGAGAAGTCCTGGAAATGATGTAAGGTTCCACCACCCCCTACAAGCCAGAATTATGGGCACCACTCTACATTCACATACTCTGATTATGCAACTACAGTTTGACAGGCCTTGCCCCAGCAACCAAGTTTCAGAGCACTGCCAGGCACTAAGCCAATGAAACAGGAGTCAACTCAAGGGCAGTAACTCAAAAACCTCAAATGACTCTGGAACCAGAGCCAAAGTAGGCAATATATTAAGTGAGCAGCAAAAACGCTAGTTAAAAAGTCTAAGCATTGATACCTTCTGCACAGATATCAGAGTCCTAAGATACACACTTATCTGGGAACAACCAAGTCGTCTCCATAGAAAATATTAATGTACTCAGTAGCATGCAAAGCTAAAGTGTTTACCTTACAGAGTGCAAAGGTAATCTGTTGCCAAACAAAACAAGAGGTTAAATGCTTTGTGACTTTTTAGTATGTTAGTGGACAATTAACCTTGGTGGTGGGTTAGTCTTTGATCCTCACATATTCCTCATGCCCTCTAGAGGGTGTAGGACCACTTGGAAAGATGCTTCTTCAACTTGTCCTCTTACAAATTACATCTGAATTTGGTCATTTGTCCATATGGCCAAAAATGGACATAATTTGAAAATTAAAA